AAATAGTTTTTCTCCAACTCGAACTTTGTCCTTATAAACGGTTCAAATGCGATACCAAGTGTAGCCAAATGCCAAATGTAACTTCGAAATAACTTAGACTCATCATTATTACTTAAAATCTGACATATCAAACAAACCGTACAATAGTTCGTAGGACCAAACAGCGCCCAGAAGCCACAGGAAGCCCGCGTGAGCGTCATATCACAAAGGCGGGACTTAATCAATTTTAGACGACGCGGATTGGACAGAAAACCTATGAGGGAGGAAATTGCCAATGATGATTGGTTACTATTTATGTCATTCCAATGGATTTGGCAGCTTGGGGCCAATGACTGTATGCTTGGGGCGGTTAAGAAAAGAGCTCATTCATTTATCAGTAAAGCGCTTGTCCTCAGATGAATGAAAGACGGAATGTGCTCTTTTGAACTCCAGCCATAACTTATCTGATAATACGTATACCACTAAATTATCTGCAATAGTTGATAGGTTGTTATATTTATTATGAATTAGCGCCCAGTTATTAAGCAAAGCGTGTCACACAAGTCTTTAATGGCCAAGTGAGAATTTTCTTGTATCGTATGTCCTGCCAAACAGCTGCAAGAGTGTCGAGGGTCGCAAACAGCTGACTGCTGAAAAAGTTGTCATCCCACATCCCATGCGTTCCGTTTATTAGGAGTGCCACGATATGAAATGTTGTCCTCCCTGTCAATGTTAACCCTCTGTGAAAATACTAATGGCATATATTGTCAGTTTTGCCTAATTTTGGAGCGACATTGGCAGGAGAATAGCCCCCTTGCTGACATGTGATCCTTCACAAATAACGCCAAGGAAATGTACAGCACAGCCAAAAGACAGCTGTTCACACTAAAAAGGGAAGAGTTGTATAACGCAATATGCAACTAATGGTTAGGCCCTAAAGAAACACATCAGCGTCCAAGAGCTACCAGGTATCACCAAGTTTTATAAATGGCTAGGACAAACATAGATTCAAGAGCTTTTAAAAAATTTTTTTTAAAAACTTCCTGGCCCAAGATGACCATCATATTATTTCCAGTCAATCATGTGGAATGACTGCCTTTCTTCTTCTTTGATTGTAAAGGAGAAGCAGTCAAAAATAACACCCCCTTTATATCATTTATTTCTGAGTCTTACTTCCACCCATTCTAATTATAGACTTCCATAAGCAGAAAGACAAACATGTCCCCCTTTCAGACACAACTGACTGAAGTTTTCCAACTTACCAGCCAACAATACCCGATGATCGCGCGCCCCCCTCCCAACAAAAAAAAAAAAATCAGCTTAGTTTAAAAATGCTGAGTTTATTATTCACACAATACCATATACATTATTTAAATGACTCTCTGTACCAACGCATTAGATCTTCCAAAGGTTATTTTAATAATATGCAGAGGGGAAAAAAAACATAACAGGCCTTTAGAAAAGTGAAAAAAAATTTTTTATTAGAAATAAAGTAAATTTTCTTTTTCATCCAAAACTATTTCAAAAATAATACCCTGTCTTATTTAACTAAAACACACAGGGGAAGAGAAAAAGAAATCATTGCCCTTCAGCTTCTGGTAAGGGCAGCAGTGCCCTGGAGGACAGCCTGTGGGGAAGAGGCTGCGGCTGAGGCTGAATGGGCTCAGTATCACAGTGCTCTATTAGGGAGGAAGGAGGCAGCAGGTGACCATACACAATACCCGCTCTAGGGGGGTCCAGAGGAGGAAAGAAATACCTGAAGTAAGAAAAAGAAGGAGGAGGAGACAAAGATGGCAAATACGTGGACGGAAAGAAAAGACAACAAAGGGAATACATAGAGGGTGAACAAATAAAAGGAAGCAAAAAAAGAGAAATTAAAAGGAGAAGGATGCATGTTTGGTCCAGACACTAAAAGGGTAAGAGGGAAGACAGTGACATTTAAAAAAAAGAAATAAAAAAAAGGTTTAAGCACAAAAAGAAAGGAATCAATGTTTTGCAAGGT